GGCCTCCAGTCCCCATTTGTAAAACAGGGATAATAGCCCGGGGGGGGGCATTAAGATAAATGAAGTGCTGAAAGATGCGGGGGGGGGAGCAGAGAGCTGGGAAGAGGCGAGCGACGCTTACCCAGACGCTGTGCCCACGAGAGAGGCTGTGATTTCTCCAGCTTCCAGGCAGGCGTCGCACACACCGGCACGTGCAGAACCCTCGGACAGCTGTTTTCTAAGAGCCCGTGAACTCCAACAGCTTCACAACACAGTGCCAGCAGGGCCTGTCCCTAAAGGCAGATGGATGGGCCTGATCCTGAGCAGCATGGCCCTGGCCCCCTTCAATTCCCATTTGTTTCCTGGAGAGGCCCAGCACTGCTCAGGATCGGGCCCCCAGCAGCAAGCGTGGTACAAAAGGGAGCATAGCTGGGCCAGTACTTTTCCAGGCCCCCTTTGCTGTTATTAGGGATATTTATCACTCAGCACGGCCCCTTCTCTCCCACCAGCGCCATCCTCCAGCTGCCGGAGTCGGCCCTGGGGTCACGCGCTACGGTTGTTATCTCACCGTCGGTAGCCACGGAGATGACTGTGAGGTCGCAAACACAGTAGGGACGCGTCTCCCTCCGGAGGAGAGGGAGGATGGCTGAGAATTAACAGGCTCAGTGAGCAGAGGCAGGCGAGCCAAGCCAGAGGGGAATAGGCTCGTGGCCAGTAAGGGATCGCAGGTACTTTTCCTGCACCCATCACCATGGTATCTGGGCACCTCACAGTCTTCAATGCATTTATCCTCAGACACCCCTGGGAGTTATCTCCATTGTACAAATGGGAAGTGAGGAACAGAGAGTCTAAGTCACCGAGAATCTGTGCCCATCCCTCCGCCCCCCCGCCTCGTGACACCTTTGAGGAATTAGTGCAATTTCTGTTAAGCACATAAGAATAGCCATACTGGGTCAGACCAAGGGTCCATCCAGCCCAGTATCCTGTCTACCGACAGTGGCCAATGCCAGGTGCCCCAGAGGGAGTGAACCTAACAGGTAATGATCAAGTGATCTCTCTCCTGCCATCCATCTCCACCCTCTGACAAACAGAGGCTAGGGACACCATTCCTTACCCATCCTGGCTAATAGCCATTAATGGACTTAACCTCCATGAATTTATCCAGTTCTCTTTTAAACCCTGTTATAGTCCTAGCCTTCACAACCTCCTCAGGCAAGGAGTTCCATAGGTTGACTGTGCGCTGTGTGAAGAACTTCCTTTTATTTGTTTTAAACCTGCTGCCCATTAATTTCATTTGGTGGCCCCTAGTTCTTATATTATGGAAACAAGTACATAACTTTTTCTTATTCACTTTCTCCACACAACTCATGATTTTATATACCTCTCATATCCCCCCTTAGTCTCCTCTTTTCCAAGCTGAAAAGTCCTAGCCTCTTTAATCTCTCCTCATATGGGACCCATTCCAAACCCCTAATCATTTTAGTTGCCCTTCTCTGAACCTTTTCTAATGCCAGTATATCTTTTTTGAGATGAGGAGACCACATCTGTACGCAGTATTCGAGATGTGGGCCTACCATGGATTTATAAAAGGGCAGTAAGATATTCTCTGTTTTATTCTCTATCCCTTTTTGAATGATTCCTAACATCCTGTTTGCTTTTTTGACTGCTGCTGCACACTGCGTGGACGTCTTCAGAGAACTATTCATGATGACTCCAAGATCTCTTTCCTGATTAGCTAAATTAGCCCCCATCATATTGTATGTACAGTTGGGGTTATTTTTTCCAATATGCATTACTTTACATTTATCCACATTAAATTTCATTTGCCATTCTGTTGCCCAATCACTTAGTTTTGTGAGATCTTTTTGAAGTTTTTCCACACTCTGCTTTGGTCTTAACTATCTTGATCAGTTTAGTATCATCTGCAAACTTTGCCACCACACTGTTTACCGCTTTCACCAGATCATTTATGAGTATGTTGAATAGGGTTGGTCCTAGGACTGACCCTTGGGGAACACCACTAGTTACCCCTCTTCATTCTGAAAATTTACCATTTATTCCTACCCTTTGTTCCCTGTTTTTTAACCAGTTCTCAATCCATGAAAGGACCTTCCCTCTTATCCCATGACAACTTAATTTACGTAAGAGCCTTTGGTGAGGGACCTTGTCAAAGGCTTTCCGGAAATCTAAGTACACTGTCCACTGGATCCCCCTTGTCCACATGTTTGTTGACCTCTTCAAAGAACTCTAATAGATTAGTAAGACATGATTTCCCTTTACAGAAACCATGTTGACTTTTGCCCAACAATTTGTTCTTCTAGGTGTCTGATAATTTTATTCTTTACTATTGTTTCAACTAATTTGCCCGGTACTGATGTTAGACTTACCGGTCTGTAATTGCCGGGATCACCTCTAAAGCCCTTTTTAAAATATTGGCATTACATTAGCTGTCTTCCAGGCATTGGGTACAGAAGCCGATTTAAAGGACAGGTTACAAACCATAGTTAATAGTTCCGCAACTTCACATTAAAAGACTGTCATGAAACTTCATATGTCATCCTAGCAAAGCAAAACAGGCCTGCGGAATTCATACCCTCCCTTCTCCTACAACTCAGCCATAGACCACGACAGCTTTGTGGGCGCGTGCCGAACAGGTCAGGTCCATCGTGAGACAACAAGCGCGGAGACAGCGGTTGGTCAGGAAAGTCCACAGGTACCACATACCGACTGGAGTTATTTCATGTCTATTACAGGTGATTTTCAATTTACTGCTGGGTAACCGTTTTGGCAAATGCTGACTCTTTAAAGGCAACCACCGAAATGGCTCGATCCGGCTCCCAATGAAATCAGTGGGAGTGATAGTGTCACCCGCATAGGAGAATCGACACACACACACACCACCCTGGGGCCAGTGCGAATGCAGGAAGTCAGACAAAATGATCATCATGTCACCTGCCCTTAAAGCCCACACCCCCAGCGGCGCGGCCGCAAATGGCTAGCGAAGGATCCCCCCCTCCCCTCTGCGGCCACGGAGGTGAGAAGGGGAGGCCGGCAGATTTTCCAGTCGGCGCAGCCATGGAAGGGAAACAAGCCAAGCGCTGAGCCTACCTCTTGCGGAGAGCTTCTTGGTGTTGATAATCTTGGCTGCGTACTCATGGCCGGTGCAGAGTTTGACGCAGCGTCGCACGACCGAGAAAGCCCCCCTAGAGAGAGGAAAAGAGAGAGAGAGAAAAAAAACTAACTTCCCAACCTCCGCACCAGGAGAGCTCAGCAGCAGCCCACCGGGCCGGTTTGGAGAGGCCCTTAGGCTGCTGATTATCACATTGGCTTAATATTTCAGTGTAACCAGCACAAGACACGGGGACATCTGGCACTAGCTCTGACTCAGCACCGTGACGGGCAGGTGTGCGAGCCGCCCTGCCGGAGGATCTAAGGCCTGCAGGATTCGGAGGGCACTTTGGGGGGGGGGGGGGGCGCGGTGCGGGTATTCCCACTATACGGGGGTGACCCAGGGACTGCTTGATGTTCAGTGGCACAGGCTCCCTCCATACAGCGTTTGAGGGGGCGGAGCCTCTCCCAGCATAAGGGGCGGAGCCTCTCCCATTGAGAAGGAGGAGCTAGTCCACAATGCATTGCAAAAAAAAAAAAGAACATTAGCATATCACCCCCAAACCCCCATCAATCCTGGTCCCAAGCCAAGGCCATCAGCGCCCCATAATGCAGCTGGACAGGACTCACCCCCCACACACTTGCTCCCACACACCCCAGCAGCCCCACCCCACCCCCTTTCGGGACAACCAGCAATTAGCTGCTGCTGCGCTCGGTGCTGTACGACACACCAGATACCGGCAGGGCCTGCCCCAAAGAGCAGACAGGCATGGGGACAGAAGGGCAGCAGGCACCGAGCAGCCCTCAGACAGGAAGGCAGGAGCTCGGAGCTCCAGGGTAAAAATTTTCTAATGCAACCTCAGTGACTGAGACACCCTTCACCGTGTTTTCAAAAGTGACTTGGGGCCAGACTGTCCAAGCTACTTAGGTGCCTGAAGACGCAGGAGAGTGCCTAGTAGGACGGTCAGACGCATCTAAGCAGGTCAGGCACCCTGTCTCCCATGGGATTTAGGCACCTAACCTGCTTAGGCACTTTTGTATCTCACTAGGTGCCTTTCTGCGTCTTTGACAATCAGGCCCCCTAGCACTCAGCTGCCTCTGCCTCCCAGACAGCCAACTGGAACGGGGCTCATAAGGGTAGGGCCACACTGCAATGAAAAACCCAGGCCAGCTGACTCAAGGGGCTGTTTAATTGTAGGGTAGATGTTTAGGGACCTGTAGACAGTCTGGACTCACCCCTGCGGCACCTCCTGCTGGTCATCTCGGGACTTATCTCTTCCAGTATCCTGGAGCGCCCCCTGCAGGCTGGTGATCCACCTGTCCTCTGGCCCCATATCCCTCCCGGACCCCGGTGCCCTTGTATGTGGGGTGCTGCCCCCTGGCAGTACACCCCTCAGTACTAGCGTCTCCCCTCCCTGGGGAACCCCCACCCACTATCCCTACCTCACCTCAGAATAAGGCCACTGCCAGTCATCAACTAGCCCCCGCTCCCTGGGGCAGACTGCAGTATAGGCCACTCATCACTGGCAAGGAGGGTTTGGACCTGCTGCCTTGGCCTAGCCCTGGGCTGCCCTCTGCAACCCCCAGTACCCCTTGGCCTTCTCCTAGGCTGCAGCCTGGGGCTTTCCAGGCTGGAGCTCCCCAGCCCTGCTCCACCCAGGTACTCTGCTCTAGTTCCCTGCAGCCAGGCCCTTCTCTCTGTGCACTCAGAGAGACTGCTGAGCTCTTGGCTCCCAGCCTTCTTATACAGGCCAGCTGAGGCCTGATTGGGGCGTGGCCCAGCTGCAGCTGCTTCCCCAATCAGCCCAGTAGCTTTTCCCTTTGCCCCAGCCCTCTGCCAGGGCTCTTTTAAACCCCCCAGGCAGGAGCGGGGTAACCACCCTGCTACAGGACCCTTCCCCCTTGCAGGGTCCTACAGCCCACACTGCAATGAGACAGCCCGAGGCAGCCGGCCCAGGCCAGCCGTGGGTTTTTAACTGCAGCGGAGACATACCCTAAATGTCTACATCATTCCTGAAAAGAAGAGTTAGGCTCCCAGGTCACTTCATTACTTTGAAAATTTTACCCTTTGACTCTTGAAAATTGTCTCCATGGTGCGTATTTTGCACCAAAAAACCCATATCCATCTTAGGCCCTGCCAGACTCACTCCTGCTGGACGATTCCGTTCCTAGGGCAGGTCTGTTTTTCTTTAACTACACTTCCAAACTGCTTTTAAACCACGTTTCCCTCCCCCGTTACAATTCCCCAATCAGGAAACAGAATTCCCTGAACACGGGGAAAACCAGGTGCGAGGAGACCGCTCCGACCCGGCCCTTCTCCCGCTGCCTGGCTGGTGTTTGGTCAGCTCGCTCCCCAGCAGCTCATCTGGAGACGGTGCCCCCCTCAAAAGGATAAAGGACAAAAGATGCTGAAATTCCAAACGTGCCAATGCGAGATTTTCCAGGATTGTTCTGGATCAGGAAAAGCGGCTTTCACGGATGGGGGTGGTGTTTACTTGTTAATGCCTAGATATCAGCATCCAAAGGTGGGCAGCGCAGGCCAGGTCCAGCCAAAGAGGGTCTAGAAAGCACTGTCAGCAAGTGGCAGCGGGGGGATTTGCTCCTGGGAATGCAGGCAGATAGCCAGAGTTGCTACGCAGCCTGGCTGAGGCTCTCTAAAAGCCGATGCTGATCACTGCAGAGCTAAGCGTTCCCCAGGTGCCCAAGCCAGCGCTCTAAGGGGAAAGCGTTGGCGTCCCTAGCTCCTGGATTTCTCGCTCTGCATTGTGACCAGCTGGGAGGTCTCCTTAAGAAAAGCCAGTGGCTCTGGGTGGGCATTAAAGACCTTGGAGCCCCAGCTAAATTCTCCCCTTTGCTACAGTCATTGCTGTGCAACCAGCTTCTGTCCTCCACCCCAGAGGTGGCTGCATTGCCAGGAGGTAACTTGCATGAGGGAAGCACCACTAGTAAATCAATCACAGCTCCAAAGATCACGTGCTGTTGGCCTCACGTTGCCACAGCCTGGCAAGGGTAGACTAGCCAGCCCTGATCCTGCCATGGAAAAGGGCAGCTGCTTCCCCTCCTGCCCAGGAGATCCTCACCTACAGTGTCCTTCAAACCACAGCCCTTTCTCCCAGGAGAGACCTTGCCCTTCTGCAATCCCTTCTCCCCTCCGCTCTGCTAGCTTTCTCCCTCTGCCACTTCCTTCCTGTGCTTTTTAACCACCCCTCCCAGCTGATGGGACAGCCACCTCCTTAGCCAGCCAGCCTGCACTCTGATTAGGTAATTAAGTACTCTCCATTCCTCCCTCAAGTCTTCTCTAGGGGAAACTAATCAGAGCTTAAGTGACCGGAGTGCTGGGACAGCTGTTAGCTCTCAGCACTCTGTCACACTCCACATCATCTTGCCCAACCCAGCTGCTCCCCAGAGACTGCTGCTTCTTCAAGAGCTGCAGCTCCCCAGAATTATAAGCTTCATTATCAGAGATTCGTGAATGCCTGTCTGGGGGAACAAGGGCTGGGGAAGGGCCACAGTTCGCACCTAACAGGGCTGAGCTCTGCCCGAAGGGGGCAGAACACAGATTCGGGATGTGTCTATGGCTTTGAGCACAGTAACTCCAGCACCCCCAGGTGTATAACCCCTGCACGCAGAGTAGGGCGACCGATGGCTTTTCCGGTTTGCTGGAAGTTCGGAGAAAAAAATCGGTTTTGGTCAACCCGAAAACAAGATTTGCCAGAACTTCCAGTGACAAGCAAATAATAATAATAATAATAATTAATTAATAATAATTTCAGGGCGAACGGAACATTTTGTTTCAATTTCAAGGTCTCTTTGGCCCATTTTTTGAAAACTAAAATGAAAGGCCATTTCCCAGCAAAAAGTCATTTCCAATGGAACCGCTCACCCCGCCCTCCTCAGGGGTCTTGGCCCAGTTTAGATCGGCCCTGGGCAGAGACCTGTGGGGAGGGCGGGGTGACGGTTTTCAATGGAAACTTCTGCAGCTGCTGCCTGGGCAGGAAGGCAAAGGGCACCTCGGGTTCCTGGGGCACAGGGAATGGAGACAGACCCCCCCCCCAATGCTCCTTGCCGCCCCGATACGCATCTGGCTATCCCGGCTGGGGGATGAAATGACTAGCTGGGGGCTCAGAGCCACAGAGCGAAGCCAGGCGCCCCGTTCTCCCTGCATGCACCCATTACATGCCCTCCCTTTCCTCCCTTATTTATTGTCTGGATCGCGGCAGTGCCAAGAGCACCCGGCATGGGCCAGGACCCCTCTGTGCTAGGCGCTGCACGAACAGCGACTGCAGAGAGAACTCCCAGCAGAAACCCATCTCAGCAAACCTGGGCACCTTCTGCAGGGGGAGCATGAGAGTCGGAATCAATCCCCCCCCCCCCCCCGCCTCTCCCTGCCAAGTCTCTTCTGGGCCCACATCTCAGTTACTTCCCCCTGAGTCTTCCCTACAGGGAGCGACGCCTCATGGAACAGGGGCCCCAGTTGCCAAGCAGCGGCACCCAGCCGAGGGGAAGCCAGGCCATGCTGCGTGAGGCCCGTGGAGCGATTCCCGCCACGCACGGCACGGGATCCCCGCACGAGGCTTTCAGCTTGGGAGCGTTTCTAATGATCTTCTGCCCGCGGCTCCTCCTTTCTTTGCAGCGCTGAGCGGAAAGGCTCTGCCCAGACCCGGCAGTGGCCCATTCCGCTCACAGAGCCGGCAGGCACTGATGGGCAAACGGGGCCATCCTGCTCTGCTCAAACGCCTTCAAAAGAGGGAGGAGCACAGGCAGCAAGAGGCACCTTCAAAGAGCAGCAACAGAAAGGCAATCTGCAGAGAGCGGCCCCGGGGCTTCCCCCGTGACCAGCAGGGGGGCAGGCAAAGCAGACCAGATCCCTAACGGAGGTGGGGCCGGGGGGATTCCCAGACGGGGACGTGGCAGCTGGCCCGACGATAGCGCAGGATACACCAGGATAGCAACAGCTACGCCCAGCCAGAGGCTGCAGGGAGCGGCTTGCTCCCCCGGCCCTGTATTTCCCCCCCAGGGCCTCGTTCCCCAAGCTGTGCGCAGGGTGGGTGATTTTTGACCCTGATCAGCGAGATTTTCTGCTCCAAACCTCTGG